GAGTGACCATGGGGACAACAGAGTGACCACGGGGACAGCAGAGTGACCATGGGGACACGAGAGTGACCATGGGGACACGGGGGGACAGCAGAGTGACCACGGGGACAGCAGAGTGACCATGGGGACACCAGAGTGACCACGGGGACAACAGAGTGACCACGGGGACAAAGGAGTGACCATGGGGACACGAGAGTGACCACGGGGACAGCAGAGTGACCACGGGGACACGGGGGGACACCGGAGTGACCATGGGGACACGAGAGTGACCACGGGGACACGGGGGGACAGCAGAGTGACCACGGGGACAGCAGAGTGACCATGGGGACACGGGGGGACACCGGAGTGACCACGGGGACACGGGGACAGCCAATGGATGTCACTTGGGGCAAGAGGAACATCGTGACACTGGGAACGGGGACACCCACGGTGACACCGGGGGCTGGCAGTGACACTGACGGTGACACCGGGGGATGACGGTGACACTGACGGTGACACTGACGGTGACACTGACGGTGACACTGACGGTGACATCGAAGGTGACACCCGTGCCGCGATCGGGCCCCACCTGCCGCGCCTGCTTCTCCTGGTCACGCAGCCACTGCAGGTAGGACTCGCGGGCCACCTGCTCCTCGATGGCCTCGTTGGTGGCCTCCCAGTCCGTGGCTCGTTTCTTGTCCTCGAGCATTTGCTGCTCGATCCACGACTCCTCCGACGTCTTGATGGCGCTCTTCATCAGGGACTGCTCGGCCAGCTGGGGACAGTGAGGGACAGTGAGAGACATGGGGACAGTGAGGGACACGGGGACAGTGAGGGACATGGGGACAGTGAGGGGACAGTGAGGGGACAGCTGGGGACAGCTGGGGACAGCTGGGGACACGGGGACAGTGAGGGACTGCTCGGCCAGCTGGGAACGGGACATGAGGACAGTGAGGGGACAGTGAGGGGACAGTGAGGGGACAGTGAGGGGACAGTGAGGGGACAGTGAGGGACTGCTCGGCCAGCTGGGGACAGTTAGGGGACACTGAGGGGACAGTGAGGGACATGGGGGACAGTGAGGGGACAGTGAGGGACAGTGAGGGACTGCTCGGCCAGCTGGGGACAGTGAGGGGACAGTGAGGGGACAG